TGATCAAACTTTTCTATTTTCCATTGTTTTAGATATCTATCAATATAAGTATTCATATCTATCTATCTATCTATCTATCTATCTATCTATCTATCTATCTATCTGTCTGTCTCAACCTGTTCACATCTATCTATCTATCTATCTATCTATCTATCTATCTGTCTCAACATGTTTACATCTATCTATCTATCTATCTATCTATCTATCTATCTATCTATCTGCTTGTGGATATGTCATGTTACAACACTGGTTCCTGTACGATGTCCGAAATTAAACAACGTCGAGCCTGATCAGTACCTCGATGGTAAATCTACTTAATAAACGGCGCGATTATGTAGTGGCTGTAAAACCGATGTATATTTTCTTGAAATATTACTATTATAGAAACACTATCCAATGGGAAAGCGAATTCTTAGTTCATGTAGTGTTGATGTTTTTGATGAGTTCCATTTTGTTTAGGTGATATTTACCGTAAATTGTGGTGTACAAATCGACCTCGTTTTTTTAACTCATATTTCTGAGTTAGGACTATACCTACCGTATAGGTCGTCTCCTAAACAGACGGTAAGCTACCCTAACTTAGGAATAACGGTAAATGAAGTCAGGCTACAGAAATCAAACCAACCAACCAACCAACAACTATTTACTGATTCATCTACAGCGTCCATAACAGTTCTTGAAACTCATTATATGTAGAATATGTAAATCTTACGACACTCTAAGTACACTTTTTATCCTAACCCATTCTACAAGCTCAAGCGAACTAAATATTCTATTCATTGGCCACAAATATTAAAGATAATGCCAACCTTTTTTTTTCTTTTTTTTACAAGTGTAAAATATCCAGTCACCCACAATTTAAATTTAATTTTTTTCAGCATATTTAAAATATATTTCTTTGTGCACTTTTCCTATTTTGTACAGATGTTTTACGAAATGTAGAAAATGCCTTTGTAAAATAAACTATCACCGCATTATTTTGAAATAAAAGAAATTTATAAAATCACGTATTGAATTCTTTGTATTTTTATTGTTACTGATTTCATACAGCATCGACTTTTAACAGTTACATGAAGTACGTGTTATTAGTTATAGCTTGTTTAACGGCATATCAACACCTTTAGGGGTCATTTGATTCCGAAATTTAATTTTCTTGTGATCTTTGAAGTAATAATATAATACGTTACTCTGCTTTCCCAAAGAAATACAAAAATAGATTCTGTCTGCTTAGGAATGATAACAGAATAATCCCCCCCCTCCACAATTTAAAGGCAGTAGCAGACAAATGCATGCTGGAATTTTTCTTCACCAATAAAATATGTCGGTTCTAGGTTTCATTTGACTTAGTCCCGATCTGTCTTGTCTTGAAGTCAGACCGCTACATTCACTTGTCCGAATTTGCTCCTGTGTATCAACCCCATTTCTTAGTTTGTAAACTTTTTGCCATATTACTAATTTGCCTTGCATATGTTGCTTGTTTGCTTCATATTAGTTTTTTGTCCTGTTCTTTTCTTTTTCTTGTCATTGCAAATTTTATCAATTCTGTTTGTTGAACAGCTCTGTCATTTATTTTACATTTAACCATGGCCACTCACTCTATATGTACAATTCATGACGTCACTAAAATACTGCAAGAATTTTCAGTGAGTTGAGCAAAGCGTGCAGCAAGTAAACGGGAAATCATTGATCCAGCCATCCAGCAATTTACATGTGATGAATGTGGTAGAGTATGTTTCTAAAATGCAGGCCTCATTAGCCACGAGAGGAATCCTATTGGTAGACAAATTACAATCAATATAACCATGGGAATAAATTAACATGCAGCGTGTGTCAGAAGACACACAGACACGTCCCCGTTCTCAGCCGTCACACAAGAGTAACTTGAACGGAATTTACAAATCATGCTCTGTATTCAGCAAATTATGTCGAAGCGTCTTCAGTGTGCATTGTGAGACACTTGCTGGCTTCGAGTATCTTTGTTGCACAAAAGGGGAGAAAAATCAAGGAACAAGTTTGTCACTGACGGTCATACTTCTCTCTCTCAACATAGGTGGGTGGCAGCCTGTTTCTTCATGCACTGAAGGTTACGTTCAAGCAGACAGTGTGAATCTCAATGTACATTTTTATATAGGCTTACGCCCTATCCCTGATATTAAGCACTTTCCACCCATAAATATTGCATATCTTAAAACTCTCAATATTTATCATATATATATATATATATATATATATATATATATATATATATATATATATATATATATATATATGACATTAGGTAATATAAACACAAATATATTTTACATTCCCAAATTATTTTTGGCAATTAAAGAATGGTGCGATCTCAATATCAATTAACTGGGATATTATAACAAGAGCCAAATCTTATAACGGGAAAGGAAATAAATATAATTTACGTCCTGTTGAAAAATTGGTTATCTTAAAACAACGTCTACCCACACTGATGAGCTGTGATACAGGGAAACAGTCTGTCTGTGGATGACAATGAAACATGCCCCCCCCTCTCTCTCTCTCTCTAATTCTGTCTGTCTGTCTGTCTCTCTCTCTCTCTCTCTCTCTATATATATATATATATATACATATATATATATATAATTATAATTATTAAAAAAAAATTTATAACATAAATATGTTATAAAATCACTACAAAAACAGCCATTTTGATTGGTCATCCTAGCTTTCGTAACAGTGTTTTCCCCTTGCGAAGGATCGTTAATTAATTTGAAACTTTTAAAACCATTTATTTTACATTCAACATCATCACTTGATAAGACACCAGGGGTGTTGAAACAAAATGGCTATTTTTGTAGTGATTTTATAACATATTTATGTTATAAATTTTTTTAAAAATAATTATATCTGCTCTACTTTGTATTGAGCACTCTTTTAAGAATAGTAATTGGTAGTTATTGGAATTCATTCCGTGTATACCAATTATATACTTGTATATATATATATATATATATATATATATATATATATATATATATAATATATATAATTATTTATTTAAAAATATGATTCCAAAACGCTACATAAGAAGTCTCATGTTTCAAAACAAGAGCCGAAAACTTCAATATAATTATTTAAATTAAATTGAGTTAAAAATAAGTTAAAATAAGCTCTGTTCCATCTTCAAGCGAAATTTTTTTGGGAATAACGTATATCTGAAATTTACGTGTTTTAAAAATTGAAATCAAAATTTCCATGGTAACAGCTAAGGCGAATTGTTTAAGTTGGGTAGGCGGGTAATGGGTGTTAATAATAAGTATCAGTATAGAGTTACTTTCGTAGATGTCAAGTCAGAGAAAGGTAGGGGTGTCTAAAATTTTAAACGGAAGATGTATTAACCCTCGGCTAGTTTGCATGTCTATGGAGATTTATTTATTTTTTTATTTTATTTTTTTATGAAAGGGATTTGTGCATACAAAAAAACTGTCGTAACGTTTGTTTTTTGACGACTTCATAAAGGGTTATCTTTTTTGTAGGGTATTTAAACTATTTATTTGGGCTATGGATTATCCTTTCGCTGGGCTTGTAGATAACTTGGCGGTGCCCATCTCCTCTCCAAATACTCTAATACAAATGTATAAAAAAATACTTAAAAAAGGTAACAAAAAAATAAAAATCAAAAAAAAATCAAGGTAAATCAATCATCTGACAGCTGAGATGGAATTCCTACAGATTTCATATCAGAAGTTAATACAATAGAAGCATGGTAATTTAATTCATGCTTTTAGTGGAACGGAGGAATTTAAATTTACCGTTCAGTTTGGGCGTAAAAATGAAATGTATCCACGCAAACAATATGCACTAAAACATTTGCATTTTGAAAAATTCAAGCAGTCATATACAAATAGCAGAAGCGTGCACGTATGTGCACATGCGTACAAACATACAAACCTAAGAAAGAGAAACATAGACAGGACGAATGGACATAAATATATGAAATTTAGAATTGTTTTAAGCGTTTCTGGGTTAGCCTTTTAGATACATCTTATATCCTTATATAAGGATCTATGTTTATTTTCTCCAAAAACCTCTTTACAAAAATACGGTAATGAAACCTGATCTACAAACTGATTTCTTACAAAGAATTTATATTTTACACATACGAATCTATCCTAAAAAGCTTTTCGGCATTAAATAACCCATTGCCGTAAAACAAAATAAACCAAACCAAATCCTACCATTCAAAATGTTTTGGCATTAAATTACCCATAGAGATTGATATGCCGCTAAACAAAATCAACTAACCAATTTATCTTCATCACTCTTTTCATCTCTCTCTCTCTCTCTCTCTGTATATATATATATATATATATATATATATATATATATATATATATATATATATATATACTTTAAAAATCAGGAGATCATCTGAATCCGCTACCTTAGTTTCATCCTCACTGTTTTCTCAGTCGATTTGAATTAAAATGCTTTATTTAAAAAAAAAAAATAATGAAATGTATATTATTATTGTAAAAAATAAAGTAAACAAAGGCACGATGTTGAGTGTAATAGAAATGAAGGAAGAGGATGTGAAGAAGAAGAAGAAGAAGAAGAAGAAGAAGAAGAAGAAGAAGAAGAAGAAGAATGTTTTAATTTTTTTTATCCAGTCTCATATGTGCTTAAGAGAAAGTTCTTGATATGTATGCAAGGACCAGAAACCCGAAGACTTGAGTCCTTGCATACATATTAAGAAATTCCTCTCGTTCTTCTTTCTTGCTTTTATTTTTTTTTTTCACACGTGTATTGACCACTTTTTAATAACACTGTTTCCTGGTCTGGTTCAACTTTGACCATTAACCTTTTATATATATATATACTAGCAGTAGAGCCCGGCGTTGCCCGGGGATGTAACAGTAAGAGATAGATCAAGTATCGACCATCATAAAGACTGAAAAATAAAATTGACAAAGATTATTGTTTAAGGTTGACGGACACGCATGTCTTAATTAGTTTTTTTTTTTTTTTTTTACGAATTGGTCAAACCCAAACTCAAACAAAGACATTGTTTACAATCGTTATGAGTCTATCGATTGGGGAATAGAATTTTATTGTAAACAATTGTCTTGTAAATGGAATTTTTAAAGCATTCTAAATGTAAATAAAGAAAAAAGTGTGCAAGACAATAAGAAATACTACCTGCACCCCCAAAAAGTGGATGTTTGTTTTATCGGCTGAAAAATGTAAGAAATCCGATCC